TTTTTTTCTTACAATATCATCTATATGTAAATTATATTGGCATTTTATACTTTCTAGCTTTTAATTTAGCTTATATTTTAGATAAGCAAGCAATATGCTTACATTCTTTGGTTCTTTATAGAGGTATATGTTGCTCAATATACACAATGTTGTACGAGAAGAAATTTCTGGCTTTTGTTATAGGAGAGACTATTATTTCAAAAAAATTCTTACAATGTGTGCAAGTAGATCTTGTTTCATTTGAGAAATATCCAGATAAGGAATACCAGTATATTGCATACCTTCGTGATCAATTCACAAGGTTCTCGTAGACATGTTCACTACATACTAAAGAGGCAGCAGAGGTTGCTGCATTTCTATTGTCTGTTTTTACTGTCTTTGGGCCTCTATACATTTTGCAAAGTGATAATGGGAGGGAATTCACTGCTCAAATTATTTATGAACTTCTCAGTTTATGGAAAGAAATCCATATAATAAATAGGCATCCTCGTCATCCTCAATCGCAAGATATGATCGAAAACTCTAACAAGACTTTGAAAAATGTTCTCTCTGCATGGATGGAAGACAATAATCGAAGAGATTGGAGTATTGGCCTTCTAATAGTTACATGTAGGTATATTGATTAATAATTTATAACTTGTTATTGATATTTAATTAATTTTTTTTTTTAGATACTATGAATATTCGTCGCTCCAGACCTACCAATTATACACCATACGAATTGGTTTTTGGGCAATATCCCTTACACCACTTTAATTTAATTGAAGAATGGAAGCGACATAACATTAATATGGAGGAAGATTTGCCTGAAGGTATCATCGAGAATGAGGAAGGTTCTGAAAATAAAGATAATAACTTATCCAATAAATATGAAGATTTCAATGAAATCACTCAAATTAATAATATAGAAAGAGATAGTGCTTCACGGTCTTTGATAGTAGCTTCTCCATCAAGTTCACAATCTTTGACACCATTTTCTGATATTTTTCAAGAAGAGGACAGCACTATAAAAAAAAATAGTACTTTACAAACAAATAAATCTTCGTTAATAACTTCTGTTCTAGGAGAACATGAATTGGAAAGTATTAGATTAACAATCTATGTATAAATTTTTTTAAAAATCTAATTTTAATTGTAATAAACAGGATTTCTGAATTGTCAACTCTCAAATATATGTAGATATAGAAGATGATTATACAATGCAACAACAAACTACTTTCAATAATCAACAAATACAATCCACGACTGATGATACTAGTGAGCAAATAGTTTCCGCGCAAGATAACTTTACAAGTAATCAGGAAAGAATTACAAAAGATAAGGTTATTATAAGATTTATTTTCTTTACAGTAAATATTGTAAATTCTTGTTAATTACAATTTATATTTCTATTTTATAATAGGAAAATCAAAATTTTATTGATTCAAATAATTCAAATGATTATGTTCCTTCCAAAAAACATCGTATTCGAGTTATTCAAGAAGCTTTAAATAATCCAACTTCTCAGCATAACATTTATCAGCAAGTTGTAAATAAAAATCTTGAAGACTATCGTTCCAAAATAAAATGCAAGATGCACACAAAATACAATATTCATGAACGTGTTTATGAAGTTGGTGATCTAGTAAAAATTCAAGTTGCCAAAATTGACCATGGCCCTGGTGATCATTGCGCACTCCCTTGCAAAGTGTTTGCAGTGCTTCCCAGAAATATGTATCGCCTTGTATGTCGATTTGGCATTCTTGACCAAGCATTTTCAGCTGGTATGGTTTTATCACTTGGACCAAAAGAATATCTGGAGTTGAATAATCCTCCAACCAATATGACTATTAGTATGATTGAGGCGGCAAGATTGCAATATAATACTCTTGCTAGTAACAAAGTATGCAATTGTAGAGGTGACTGTCTTACAGCAAGATGTATTTGCAAAAAAGCAAATATTGTATGTGGAAGTAGATGTCATCCGAAGAATTCAAAGTGTAAGCACCGAGCTTAAAGCTGGAAATAGAAAATAAGTTTTATTTTTTATTTTAAGTTATGTATTTTGCAGCATTGCATAATCTTATTGTCCGGGCAGCTAATTTAGTTAACAATAGAAATTTGATTTTAAGCGTATTATTTTAATAAATGATGTTCTTTCCATTTACATAAGCCATGTTTTTAATTCAGTAATTAATTACGTTGTTCAAAGATCATATAATACATTTTTAACAAAGGTAGCTTTACTGAAAAAAAAAAATAGAACAACTAAATGTGCTTGGGTCGATGCAATATTTGTATGCCGATATATAATTGATATGTACGTACTGAATTCTCGATCCGGGTAACCCACATAAGAATTCTAAATTGGGTTACCCCAATTCTGAATTGGGATAGCCAGATTCCAGATTGGGCGGATTCCAATCCGGGTACAACATATACATACTTTTAATGAACCTATGACATTAAACTTTTTTTAAAGTTTTACTTTTTAATATCAAATACAGTTTAATTAAATACCTATTAATCTAATTATAATTAATATTAGTATATACGTATAATATAATAGTACAAGCTTAAATCAATATACATATATAAGTAATTTATATATATAGAAATTGACTTGAAAAATATAGTGGCTCAGTATAATTTACATATAGATGATATTGTAAGAAAAAAA